TTGATTTTGTAGTATATTCGAAGTTGCGATTTATATGTTACGCTGTAAGGTGAAACCTAGTGCCAGAGTGTCGCTATGGAAAATAAATGTATTGAAACTGTGTAATGTGGAGTTATTTTATTATGATATATAGCTATCGACGGGAAATAGAATAAGTCAATTCAAGTTTTGTGGTCCGTCGAGCCGGAGCAGCTAATGAAGTTCATGAGACTGTGATATTACTTTCGGTTTTGGGAAACGAAGAATTACGTAGGATACTTCCAGATTGAAGTTATGTAGAAACAAAAGAGTAAGTACCCTCCTCCTTTTTGAAGCTCTTTATTTGGTTATTGACTTTTGCCAATTAAAATGTCACTAAAGGAGGCATTAGCGAAAAAACGTACATTGAAAACGCAGTTAACAAAGTTAAAACAAAAAATTGCAGACGAAAATGTCCAAGGAAGTGACTTAAAAGTACTGAAGAATAAATTTAAAGTGTTTGAGACAGAAATAAATTCTAATTTCGATTCTTTGTTCGGATTATGTACGGAAGAAAGTATTGATGCTTATGTAAAAGAGAAAGAAGAGATTGACGATTTTCTTAGATGTAGAAGTCGAATTAAATCGTAAATTAGCTAAAGAAATTAAATCGGAGCCTTCGGTTTGCCCGAATACTGAGAACAACGTTAAATTACCCAAAATTAATTTGCCAACGTTTTCGGGTAACTTACATGAGTGGCTTTCATTTAAAGATATCTTTTTAGCCAGTGTTGATTCAAATCCTAATTTAAGAGATACAGTCAAATTACAGTACTTAAAATCTGCGCTAAGAAGAGATGCTTATCGTATTGTGCAGTCAATATCCATAATTCATTCTAATTATAAATTAGCTTTTTCATTACTAGAAGAAAGGTTCTCTAATCACTGTGAACAAGTGTATGCTCATCTGAGACGATTTATAAATATGCATCCTATGCAAAATGAGTTTGCATCAGCAATATTAAACTTAATTGACATTACAAATGAATGCATGAGATCATTAGAAGTTTTAAATCAGAGTGTTAACGGTTTTTCTTCCAATGTATTTGCATACATTTTAGGGCAAAAATTAGATCCTAACACCAAAATATGGTGGGAAAGAAAATTAGAGAAAGAGAATTTGCTTAATTTAACATATCTTATAGAATTTCTTAAAGATCATGCAAGAACTCTCAACGCTTCAAAGAGTGTGACTAACACAAAAAAAGTTACACATAGAGTTACCACTGTTGTTTCTAATGCAAATGATAAACATATGCAGAATTCGTGTAGGTTATGTAATTTGAGCAATCACAAGCTTTTTAATTGTCCTAAATTTCAGAAATTTAGTGTAAAAGAAAGGGTAGAATTCGTAAAAAAACAGAATTTATGTTTTTGTTGTTTTAATTTGCACAGTGTGAGAAACTGCCGTTCTAATTACTTGTGCAAGAAGTGTAAGAAAAAACATAGCTTTCTCTTGTGTTATCAAAATGAAAATAATTCTGTTGGCACCACAGTAGAGAGAGCAGACACTTCAGATCATGAGTTGGATGATCAAAACAGCAATGCATTAAATGTACACTCACCTGCATTTCAAGCTAAAACTCAAAACGAAACCTTTACAGCTGCTATGAGTACTAACAGTGGGAAAAACGCAATTTTATCTACTGCCTTTGTATTTATTGAGACTAATGATGGAACTTTAATTAATGTGAAAGCGTTATGTGATAGTGGAAGTGTTTCTTGTTTTTGTACCATTGAATTAGCGGATATACTTAATTTAAAAAGGGAAAAGACAAATATTTTGGTTTGCAGTATATCAGGTATTTCAACTACGATAAAAAGAAAAGCAGTTGCCCTTATCTGTAATCAGGAACAAACATATAAAAGGAAACTAGAGGTTTTGGTAATTCCAAAAATAGCAGGTTTAACTCCCACAAAGTTTATCGATGTTAGTAACCTTTGTATTGTAAGTTTCATTTTCAGGTTTATCCATAATCTTAAGAACCCTCAGATAAGGAAGTACGGAGTACTTACTTTAGAAGAGATAAAGGATGCTGAAGTGTATATTTTATTAGAAGCCCAAAAACGTGAGTTTAGTGAAATAAATCAATTAAAAAGAGGTAAGTATGTAAACCTCAAAAGTACTAGTGTAGAACTAAAAAAATTGCAAAAATTGGTTGAGTGTCCAGATGAGAATTTAGCGAGTTTTTATACCACTGAAGGTATAGAGTGGAAAATTATTCCTCCAAAGTCGCCAAATTTCGGCGGAATTTGGGAGGCTGGGGTTAAATCATTTAAGAGTCATTTGAAGAGAGTTATTGGTAATCAGTGTTTAACTTTAGAAGAATTTTTAACTGTTTTAACTGAAATTGAAGGAGTATTGAACTCAAGACCTTTTACTCCAATTTCAGCTGATTACAATAATTTTGAAATTTTGACCCCAGGTCACTTTTTGGTTGGTAGACTTATCACAACTCTAGCTGAGCCAGATTTATCCAACATAAATGAAAACAGACTTTCTAAATGGCAAAGAATCACTAAGTATACACAAAATATTTGGAAATTACGGAAACGTGATATCTTAATAATTTACAAGAACATCACAAGTGGAAAATTTTAAAGGATGACGTTCAGTTGGAAACTCTTGTATTAATAAAAGATGAAAATTTGCCTTCAGCCAAATGGCTAGTGGGGAGAATAGCTGAGGTTTTTCATGGTATGGATAACAAAATAAGAGTAGTAACTGTAAGATTGCCTAATCAGCATTTGCTGAAACGAAATGTTCCAGATATATGTATACTTCCTGTAGAATGATGGTTTATTTCTATTATAAACTGGTATTTGTTGTAATAATTTGAATGTATATTTTTCAATATTGTGATTGTTATGTTGAAGTAATTATTGTAGTGCCTTTATATTTACATTTATTTAAATAATAATTTTGAAATTGTTAATTTCAACACCGGGAGTGTTTTGTATTAGCTGAGAAATGCTTGGCGCCAAAACGGAATCTTGGCTAACGGCGCATGCGCCGAGGGAATCGGTATTGAAATGTATTCTGTGAGAAACTTGATTTTGTAGTACATTCGAAGTTGCGATTTATATGTTAGGCTGTAAGGTGAAACCTGGCGCCAGAGTGTCGCTATGGAAAATAAATGTATTAAAACTGTGTAATGTGTGTGGAGTTATTTTATTATGATATATAGCTATCGATGGGAAATAAAATAAGTCAATTCAGTTACCTTTATGGGCTACTCAGCTTTCTACAACATCGAGGGATGAAGTCAGCAAAACCAAAAGTGTGCTAAAAAATCCTTCTTCAAAATATGTTTTTGTTCTTGCTCATGCTCACTTGTCTGACGTAGTCAGCCCAAGCCCACAAAATTCCTCGTGACAAGGAGTGCTAGATTATGCCTGCTGTTGGCAACAGCCTTGAGCACTTAACAGATTACAGAGTGATTTGGCTCAGTTCTGCCCCCAATTTTGATGGATAATATCCCAGGGGGAGAGTCGCTCACCCCTCCCACCATATCACACAAGAGGACTCTCAGCTTGCTGTTCATTTAAAGTGACACCCTGCTGCACCACCACCATACATTTACAAACAAACATCCATGCCTTCTCCAGAATTCGAACTAAGGCCCTTCGGCACAGCAGTCAGAGGCACTAACCACTATACTGGTTAAGCAGCCTTCAAAATACGTAGAGCATCATTACAACCCAATTCTTACTAATAATTTAAAATATTTCTTTAAAGTTCATAATAAAAAACTCAAATTTTCATGTACAGTAATTTGGCTTCATGTGACAGAGCAGACTGGCAAAGAAACAAAACAAAACAAAAAAAAAAATCAAAGAAAGAGAACTTTATAGTTTACATGCTACTAAAATTAGCTATGCCAATGCTTTAATTTATATTCTAAACTTCTTTTTTATCTTGCTTTAAAAGTTTTTAGAAGTTTGATTAAATGTTCAGCAGTTCTGACATTCATTCATTTTTGTAACACAGTTACAAAAATGAACAACATGACAACAAATGGATTCGTTTTTACAAGATACCGTGAAACCTCGAGATATGAGTACCTCTATATATGATAAATTTGAGATACGAAGAAAGAACGAGCGAAAAATTTGTCTCTAAATATGAGCACTGACTCGAGTAACGAGCAAAGAATCGGGCTATTGGTATGCGTGGCACAATTTCCTGATCCGGCTGGACTCTGGGAATCCTATCGTCAGATCACTCTGTGTTTTTTTATCTAAGTGTTTACATGCTTGTCAGTCAATTGTTTATTACATTTAACAAGAAAATAATTATTTCACGATGCCTTCCAAAAAGATTGGTGCCTCAGATAGTGCTGTAAAGGAAAATAAGAAAGCCATGGTTGTTGAAATTAAGAAAGAAATCATAGATCAAACAAGCATGGTCTAAGAGTGATGGAACTTACGGCCTTTTGATATCGACGATTTGCACTATTCTGAAGAAGCGGGAAGAAATTAAAAAGCTTGATGTAGCCAAAGGAGTTACCGTTACTTCCAAGCACCATCCAAAACTCCTACAAGTTGTTGAGAAGCTGTTGCTGGTGTAAATTAATGAGAAGCAGTTAAAAGGTCATTGTCGGATGCGATCATAAAGCTTAACTACGGTTATATGATTTACCGGTGTTATTTATTAGAAAAATTTATGTTGATATTTTTGGGGGTGCAGAACTGATTAACTGGATTTCCATTGTTTTCAATTGGGAAATTTGTTCCTAGATATGAGAAATTCTCTATAAATGCTCAATGCAGGAATGAATTAAACTCATATATTGAGGATCCACTGTAAAGATAAGCATTAAAATGACTGAAAATATATCAAATATATTTCTTAAAACTTCAAAGAACAAATTAACTTGAGTACTCAAGAGGTCGATAACACACACACACACACACACACACACACAAAAAAAAAAAAAAAAAAAAAAAAAAAAAAAAAAAAATGATTTTACGTTACTGACCTAAGATTTTCACCTCCTTCTACAATTTCATGGTTCAGTCCATCATCCAAGCTAGATACAAAACTTTTCAAGTGTGCATGATCTAATGCTGTCCAAATATCAGCATCAGAATACCAATCAAAAGGATCTAAATTCATTCTTAATGTACCTGAGAATAATACTGGATCCTGAAAGAAAAATACTCATTCAGCAATGCTCAAAATATCTATCAAGAATACAATATAGTATCAGCATAATAAAATGAATTAACTTGTTAATAAACCTCATATTTAAAAAAACTATGCAAATGTCGCACTTACAATACAATTCTTAAATATTTCAGGAGAAAAATAAATAAGCAATAAATAAATGAAATAAAGTACTAAAATAAATGCCAATTATTTAATTCTGAAAGGTATAATTTACACAGGAAAAAGGTAAAATGTCTTTCATAGCATTTATGTAAAGCATATAGTATTTAAATAAATTACAGCCAAAAATCCTTAATCCGGATGTCCTTAAACCGGATGTCCATAATCCGGAATAATCTATAATCCGGACCTCAAAGCTACAAACTTTCTGCGCATGCATCAACACATAATGCGTTGATGCACGCGCAAAAATTATAACAACGCATAATGCGTTGACGCATGCTCGTAATACCTTTACACATGCACATAATACGTTTATGCATGTGCGTTTAATGCATAACGGATGGTATAAGCTCAGGTAAAATTATCTACGAGTAATTATCTAATATCGTAATTATCTATTTCAGTTAATGTTGCAAATTGTGTTGTTCCTTAATCTTCTAATTGGATCCGGCTTATTATTTTTTGCAGACTGTTAAAGCAATTTTATAAAAGTAAGCGTGAACTTTCAACTATGTCAAAAAAAATTTCAGATTCTCGAGCTGCCAAAGGATCTAGAAAGCGAAAGCTTGTTTTGATGTCCATCAAACAAAAAGTGGAATCACTGCAAAAGATGGATAAAGACATATCCTTTGTTTCTCTAACCATTCCGAAATCTGTTTATCAATTTCATGCTGCTCTGCGGGGAGGAGGGGACGTCGCGGCGCACAATGAACTGGAAGTTGATCTGTCAGCACTAAACTTATCTTCAGGGCAGATGTTTTTATTTTATTTGGCTTATAATTCCTTACTAAATGTAGCATTTCATCTCGATGTACTCCGTCTTTGATATGATTTAAATCAAATTCCTCGTCATTATAAATATCACGAATACACATCAAATAGTTTTCTGGTTGCAATTTTCTAATTTCGACTATTCATAATGTATGCTTTATGCATGCGCGCGTTGAAAGAAATGTTTAATAAAGTAAACAACAAAGAATTAAGTTTTTTTTTTTTTTTTTTTTTTTTTTTTTTGTAAATTTTAATACCCTTTAGATCATAATTGCTCTTTATTTCATAAATTACGGTTTCATATTTTTAATTTTATAATTTCTGCATGCCATCTTGCCAGATATAAACTGATGATCTATAATCAGGAAAAATCGATAATCTGGAATCGAAGTCCCGATGAGTCCGGATTAAAGACTTTTGACTGTATTTTTATTTACAAATACAACATACATGAAATTATATTAAATTTATTGCCTGGGCATTTGCATTAAAATACAATAAAACATCAGTATTTATTTCCACTTGCAGAATTTAGAAAAAATTGCTCAAATAAAATGCTTATTATTGAATTCGAAAAGGTATAATTTACACAGGAACAAAAGATAACATTTTTGATAGCATTTATGAAAAGCATACAGTAACTGGTTAAATTATTTTTACTTAAAAATACAATGTATGTGAAATTATATTAAAATTGTTGCTTGTACTTGCATTAAAATACATTAAATCATCTGCATTTATTTGCACTTGCAGAATTTAATCTCATGTAAAGAAATCTTTGATAATGGAATATCTTCATTTTACCTGAGTAGAATAAACATGTCTGGGATGCATGAGCTCTTCATTCAAGCAGTGTAATTAAAATCAGACTAGAAACTTTGTATGATATTTGAACTTTTCATATACAATGTGAATTCACAATCACTTATTACAAATTAAACACAGAATTACTATTTAAAATGCATTGCAACAGATTATGGAAAATAATGCTTACAACATTTTTTTTTTTTTTAACTTCACCCCTACAATTATATAAAAAAAATCTACTATTCATTTGAATTCCTTCACTGAAATTAATTAGTTCATTTAAGGAATATTCTTTATTAAAATATTCAAAGTAACATTTCTCTGAGACTGAAATTAACTTTGGTTCTCATCTATTTTCTTTAAGCCATAACTTTTCTTTAAGAAAAGAATTATTTTAGGCACCTATTGTTTTGGCTCTTTAGTTGGGCAAAAGTGAATACAGTCAAAAGTCGTTAATTCGGACACCCGTAATCCGGAATGATCTATAATCCGGACCTCAAAGCTAAAATCTTTCTGCGCATGCGCCGCATTGACGCATGCGCATAGGCGTTTTACTCATGTGCGCAAGACGTTTACGACTGCGCAAGTGCAGAATACGTTTTCGCGTGCGCGTTTAATGTATGACGGACGGTATAAGCTAAAATTATCTAATTATCTATTTCAGTTAATGTTGATAATTGCGTTGTTCCTTAATCTTTAAATCGGATCCGGCTTATTATTTTTTGCAGACTGTAAGAGCAATTTTCTAAAAGTAAGCTTGAACTTTCGATTATGTCAAATAGAATTTCCGATGCTGGAGCTCCCAAAGGATCTAGAAAACGAAAAAGTATGTTTCGATGTCCATCAAACAAAAAAACGAATTGCTACAAAAAATGAATAAAAGCATATCCTTGTTTATCTAACCGTTCCGAAATCTGTTTATCAATTTCACGCTGCCTGCGCGGGGGGGGGGGGGCACGTCGCGGCGCGCAATGAACTGGAAGTTGATCTGTCAACACTATCGTTATCTTCAGGGCAGATGTTTTTATTTTAGTCGGCTTATAATTCCTTACTAAATGTAGTATTTAATTTCGATGTACTCCGTCTTTGACATGATTTAAATCAAATTCCTCGTCATTATAAATATCACGAATACAAATCACATAGTTTTCTGGTTGCAATTTTCTAATTTCGGCTATGAGTAAGGTATGCTTTACGCATCCGCGCGTTAAAAGAAATGTTTAATAAAGTAAACAAATAAATATTAGGCTTCTTTTTTGGTAAATTTGGATACCCTTTAGATCATAATTGCTCATTATTTTATAAATTACGGTTTCATATTTTTAGTTTTATAATTTCTGCATGCCATCTTACCAGATTTAAACTGATGATCTATAATCCGGAAAAATCGATAATCCGGAATCGCCGAAGTCCCGACGAGTCCGGATTAAAGACTTTTGACTGTATTCTCATCAAGAATGCTTGAGATAAGGACAAGGCTAATGACGCATTTGCCTCAAGGGAACAATTTGTGTAGATGTCAAGCCACAAAATATAAAGCTAACTATGGGGTCTTTATACTCCATATATATATATAGATATATATATATTATTGATATATAATATATTTTTTATTCAGTATATTATTTTTTTTTTGTCTCAAATGATGAAATATATAGTCGTACATCTGTTCTGAAGAATTATTCTCCAAAAGTACATAATATGAAGTAGTGAAAGTAATTATTTATAATGAAAATTAAACATAAAAATCAATTTAAACTGCTACACAAGAATATATGAGCTTTGCAACCACGCTGTATTTTCACTCAAGAAAGATTCACCACTTTCAGAACAGAGGTCATGTTATAACAGTTGCAGAAAACAGAAATTTTAATAATGTATAAAAGACGTGGTAAAACTTCATAATAGTAGCAGCTAAACATTAGAATTCAGGAAAGCTCATGAGGAGTAATGCCATATGTTCAGCTTTTTAAAAATACAAATGGAAATATATAATTCATTCTCCTGCTTTATAATCAGGAAAATATAATCTTAAAATATACAAATTTTAAACCATTATAGGATACAACTACACATACATTCTTTGTCTTCATACAGAAAAAACAAACATTTTCTTTTGTCCCCCCCCCCAGTTTTTTTTTTTTTCCTTTTCCTGTTATAATTGTTGATTTGCATTTAACAGAAACAATTTGAAATGGTCCTCGAGTAAAGTAACATACTGTTAAAGTTTAATCTGAGGAAAGAATAATGCACTAATTTAAAAATGGATCCAGTAATTTTTCCTTGTTTTTAATTCATATACTACATACATCATTTCTCTAGAAAGAGTAAAATACATGGTACAGGATGGTACACAATGCAGAAAAAGTCCTATTTGAGAAATGATAGTTATTTTAAATTGTCAGTGTTTCCAAGACTTTTGCATAAAAATTAATAATTTAGTTTTTTCCTTGCATTTAAAATAAGGAGGTATATAATAAGGTCACACTGTGTCTTGAATAACTCAATTAGTTCATGACATACAAATTCAATTGTAAGTTAATTTCATTTTTTGAGTTGGACATTTCAGATTTTCAAATGAAGCTATCTTCAAAAGATATGAAATTTTATAATCTTAGTGTTTTTTTCTTCAACTTAATATGCTGAATCAATAAACCGTGAAATTCAGTTATGGAAATATATAACTGAATGATGTGAAAATTCTCTTAATTCTAAACACCAGGTTATAAAACTTAAAAGATAATGCTTAATTTCACAATGATTATGAAGAAGTGTAGTCATCTTCATATCACTTCACTTACGTATTATTTCATTTCAACAGCAACTGAATCTTTCATTACAATATGAATCAAGTAAAATCCTTATTGAAATTCGGAATAAAAATTAGTGCTGAAAACTATCTATGGTTGAGCAATCTTTATATCAATGAAGCAAGGCAAATGAAACCCTCCAATTGCTTTTTTTTTTTTTTTTTTTTTTTTTGTATATTTTGTATATTTGCCAAATATACAAAATTTTCTGGTTAAAAAATTAAAACTTATATAGATTCTATTCTTAATTGATCGACATGTCATTTAGAATAAGTATATTTCAAAATATTTCTATAATTTATCAGCAATAAATACATAGTAAAATAAAAAAAACATATAAATAGTCAGCATATACAAAATTATACCATCATATAAATCTGTATGCTAAGTTTTCTACAGTAAAGTGCACTTAAGGTTTTTGCCGAATGCCACTTGATAATTTATGATTGAAATAATTAAGTCATTGATGTTTTGGAGCTGGAGAACATGCCTTGTAACAGCAGGCTCAGATAAAATAAAATATCTCATCAATATTTTAGCATTTGCTTTGAGTAACTCACTGAAGTACGGAAATATGAGATAGGGACGGCTAATTCAGGGATTAACTTTTTATTCTATTTTGAAAATTCAGCAAAACTATAATATTAACTTTAAAATTGACTAATATTTATTAAATTTTATGACATTGTTCAAAATATTAATACAGAAATTACCTGGGGAATGATTGTGATTCTGGACCTCAAATCATGAAGTCCCATATCAGCAATCCTATGAGAATCTATATTAATACAACCATCAGCTGCTTCAATAATTCTGAACAGTGACAATGTTAGAGATGACTTTCCTGCCCCAGTTCTTCCCACTATTCCAATCTACAGTCAATAAAAGATACATAAGTTTATTAAGAAGGAAAAAAATACAGCATTCTGAGAGAAAGAAAATAAGATTTTCAAATAACATGTGCACGCTTTTTGACGTAAGCTTACGCAAATTGGAAGAAAAAATTTATAATTAAACACATACAAATCAAAATATATATTACTAAAAAGTATTTGGGCAATGCTCTAGTTCTGCAACTTTCAGATATAAAGTATTTGCATCAGATTATACATTTTAACAATAATCTTTTGCTAACCAATTATTAAGATTTTAATTAGCCTGAAAATTATGAGTTATGTTTGGACTCTGGTGAAAATTAAATTTACTTTTATGCTGAGGGGAAAAAAATTAGAGTTTTCCCAATATAAGATGGTCAAAAGTACTTTCTGAAGTCACTTTCTGAGAATATAAAAGGAATTCCAATTAAACTATTCTCATTTTATTTACTAATAGGAAAAAGATATATACATAATTATTTCTTTTAGCATGATCTAATTTTTAGGAATTTTAAAGAAATACTTTTTAACATTTCTATAAATATTAAACACTATGTGTCACAATCATATCACACCTTCTGCAACGTGTGAAGGTGACATGCAACTCTATACCTTTTATTTTTAATGACAAGTTTTTCATTTTCTACATGATATGCTCGAATATGCGATTCATGTCACTAAAATAGTGATGCAGCAATGTTATTATGGCCATCTACATAGGCAGATTATACAAACCAAATACTATCTTGTTAGCAATACCAACAGTAATCTTGAAAACCTTGTAGAATATCAATGCAAGTACATATCGATTTATAATAAGATTAAATACAATAGATATGTTTCAAAAACAAACATTTAATTTACATCAACAACAGATATGTTATCGTAAGTAAACTTGTGCAAAAAGTGAAATTTAAATAAATAAATTATCTTGCTTGAATGAAAATATTTCCATTTTATATCTTAGTTTATTTATATAATTTTACATGAAAAAATTGTTACAAAACATGCAGATTACGGGAATGGTAGCAATCAAATCTATAAGCAATTCTTGCAACTAAATGCATCTAAAGTTGACCAGGTCCCAGCTGAAAACACTCCATATATTATAAGGTAGACACTAGTAATTCATATAGAAGATGGAAACTGGTCATGAATCACCTTGGAGAGAGGATAGAATGAATTTTTTACTGCTATGAGCTGGGAGCCTCAATTCCAAAGCAAACTTATTCAAAACGCTCTTTCTCAAGGCCTCATTGATGAAGTGGCTCACCAGGTACTTGTCAAACTTTTGGTGTTAGAAACCTTTACCAGGTAAGGAAACAAAGACTGTAACCCAATGTTCATGGCAGTCATGCTACCTACTTAGATAGCCAAAGCCACTACCAATTGGGAAAGCAGAGGCTGCCCTTTCTGCCAGTTAGAAATAGGTTCATGTTATTGTGCCTCCAGAGCCGCTACTGTCAGACTAAGTTAGTATGAGGTGTATTCGGAAACTAAGTTAAGTACCGTTTTGAAAAAAAAATAGTAAAACAACTTTTTCGAATCCAATTTTATTTTTACATGAAAATACATGTCTTAAACTATTTTTTAACATAGTTTCCGCCAATGATCAAACACTTGTCATAGCAAGTGACCAGTTTTTGTATACCATCGTCAAGGAAACTTCCGCCAGTTTCGATAACCACGACTCCACAGCATTTTTCGTGTCATCGTCAGATCCAAAGCGCTTGCCACCAAGCTCGCGCTTCATGTGCAGGAACAAGCGATAGTCGGATGGCGCCAAGTCCGGGCTGTACGGCGGGTGATCGAACTGCTCCCAACGAAACTGTTGAATTAACGATTGAGTGACACCAGCAGTATGGAGCCGAGCATTGTCATGGAGCAACACAATTCCCTTACTGAGTATTCCTCTTCGTTTGTTTTGAATGGCACGCCTTAGTTTTGTTAAAGTCTCACAATATTGTGCCGCATTAATGGTTTCACTTCTGGGAAGAAATTCAGTAAGCAAAACGCCTTTCCTATCCCAGAAGACAGTGCACACGATATTTTGAGATGACATCGCCACTTTGAACTTTTGTTTTTTCGGAGAATAAGTGTGTTCCACTCCATCGACTGTTGTTTCGATTCTGGCGGGAAATGACACACCCAAGTTTCCTCAACTGTCACAATTTGGTTTAAAAAGTTTTCTCCCTTATCACTGTACCGCGTGAGAAATGTCAGGGCACTACCAAGTCGCTTTGTTTTGTGAACATCAGTGAGCATTTTTGGAAACCATCGGGAACACAGTTTGCAATAATTCAAGTGGTCAGACACAATTTCGAACAAAACAGTACGTGAAATTTGTGGAAATGCCTCTGAAAGAGTTGTCATTGTGAAGCGTCTGTTCTCATGAATTGCTTCATCAACTTTCCTTACCAAATCATTGGTGACAACAGAAGGCCGACCACACTGAGCCTCGGCGTTGACATTTGTTCGACCTGCATTAAACATTCTTACCCACTTTCTCACCATTCCATCACTTATCGTGTATTCACCATAAACTTCTGTCACTTGACGATAAATTTCGGCCGGTTTAATATTTCTCGCGTTCAAAAATTTAATCATGGCACGAATCTCACAGTCAGCGGGAGAACTAATTGTCTTAAACATTTTGAATGTGCACAGCAAACTGAAAACACAACATAGAGCAACCAAAATGGTGACAATTGAAAGTCAGTGAACAAGAAAGACTAGTGCGCATGCGTGGGACACCTACCACAGCGCTGCGACGGCGCTAGAATGAAACGGTACTTAGTTTCTGAATACGCTACGTATATGCAACTCCAGGAAGTAAGGGAATGGAATGTATAAATATTCTCAATGAATTTACTTAATTTAGATTCCATGTGAAAAAGAGACACTGAAAAAAGCAATACTCAAGATTTCCATAAGCAATAAAAAATTTAGTAAGGAAATGAATTTTCACATAAACTAAAAACACAAAAAGTTGCCAAATTAATACTTAAAGTTACTCAATGTTTTATTAATGTATTTTCCCCAGTAATAAATCATTCTTTTAAATCAGATTGTTACTTTACATATTAAATGACAAACTATTTATAGACTTAGCCCAAAGTCAAACAAGCAATAAATTAAATATTATTAAAACAAATGAATAAATACTAAATTTAATGTACTGTTTAGAGAAAGTTTTTTTTTTTTAAATTAACTATTTTTTACTTATCACTTTTTATTATATGAATCTGATAATCAAAATAAACTGGAATAAGCACGTAACTTTGAAAGCAGTCTTAGCAATGTTTACAGACCAACATTAAAAGAACACATGTCAAAATATTAGGAAAGATGAATATAATTTATTAACAAACATTTTATTAATAATTAAGTGCTTCATTTTTTGCAATATGATAAGCTGAACATTTTTATTTATGTTCTTGTTTTGCAGCAAGTGGAATTCAGAGATATTTTACTTTTTAGACATAAAATATATTTAAAGTTTTCAAAGGCATCAAAAGAACAAAAAGCTTCCTTGGTACCTTTTCTCCTCCTCTAATACTGCAATTAATTTTCTTTAAAACTAAATCAAGACCATCTCTATATCTTGTTGAATAATCTTTCATGATAACTTCTCCACTATCAGGCCACCCAGTAGGTGGTGTTTTGTCTTTGATAATCCATTCAGCCTGCACAAAAATTCATAAAGCACACATATAAAAAAGATTAATATATACATATATTTCTTGAAAAGTGATACTTACAACTGCACAGTTTAAAAATTTAAGAAAATTCATCCATCAATTTTAAGATTTTATGCACACTATACTGGGTAGTCACACACACACATAAAAAAAAAAAAAAAAAAAAAAAAAAACACTCTTCCTCCAATATACGAGTCCCTAAGTGGCCAATCCACACAACCAACCGAAACTGAATAAATTCAGATATTGTTATTTGAAGGTATGCTCTTCAGAATGTGATGATTTAAAATAATAGAGCTCTCATGGGGTTGTGGTTACAATGAACAAATTTTGAAATTCTTGAATGGCAAAACAATGCCAATGGAACAATATATATATTACGAAAACTGCCAGCATAAAACATTTGCAAAGAAAAGAACTGTAAAGGATCAATGGCAACACAAGAGAGGAGAGGAAAGGGGATTGTGTGTGTGTGTGTGTGATTATGGCAAAGCCTCGAGGGCTATCTGCCTAAGGGGAGGGATGCCTTCGTGGAGAACTTTCTAAGGGAAACTGGCTCATATACACGTTACACATGGGGAAAACCAAGAAAACGGCCATGCAGCCAGCCCGTTCAAGGGATTCGAACCTCGGACCGAACTACCTGTGTTCAGCGATTTTACCGCTCGGCCGCTGGTGGGCCCCATAGGAAAGGGGAGGAAAGAAAACTTTTACTGGAATTACAAGTTTCCCATCATACTTCACATTTCATCTTTGAATTCTGACAAATCTCATGGACTTCAGACAAGTCCAGAATCAGAAATCTATTGAAGTGAGGTCACAGGAAAGCGGTGGCTACAAATCGGCAAATATCTTGAAATACTGTACATACTGAAAACTTTTAATTCCAATAAAAGTTCCCCTCCTTCTCTTATCTTGTCATTAGTCCTTTACAATGCTCTTCCTTGCATATGTTTCACTGGCAACTTTCAGCAGCATATGTGTATAATTCCAACATCACTTATGGTTTAAAAATGCGCTGACATGGAAAAAACGTGGATGCTGTCAATTGAATTTTTTTTTTTTTTTAAACTGTATTGATAATTATGGAAGCTCAATTCTTTTAAATCATCATAATCTCGAGTACATACTTTCAAACAACAATACTTAGAATTTCTTTTTGATTGGTTGAGCAAATAGGCTGCTAGGGTTTCATGAATTATGGAAGTTATTTTATGACCACCCTGTAATATGTATATGTAGCGTAGAAGAGCATAGAAGGCATTTCTTCACAGTTATAGGTTTCTTTTATCTCAAACTTGAATATTATATAACATTCAACAACCTTTTAATACCCAATAAGAAAACAAACTGCAGTCTCTTTATAATTAGTTATATGCTCTGTGTATCCTAAAGTTGGATATATATTATCAATACAAAATTTCTTATTAAAACTTTATTTAGTAGTTAAGAACTGACAATGAAGAAATGCATTAATTTAATAAATAGAATGTGAAGATGAAAACTTTTGAAAAGAAACAGATTAAGATTATGGCATTTCATTTGCACACACAAATAAAAGTTTTATTAGAAAAATAGTATTGATAAAAAGTTACACAAAATGCTATTTTCATTACTTAAAAGCTATCAGAACAGTCTGTTTCATAAACATGATTTTAATAGTATACTAACACTACAATAAAGCTTAAATATATTAATATGGCAAGTTGCTTTACTGCTCATTTGAGGTACAGATGGCATTCAGAAGAAAATGAATGCATCTATTTTCAACATTAGTGATCAAAGTTTTTAATAAGTTACAGACTTGTATGTTAGATATATGCTCTTCTATGCTACATACTACACAACTCATCTTAACCAGAATCGCAAGTAAAAATATAGCTACAATATTATTTTTAAAAATCTCATGTGTACACCACGACTTCCTTGTACGGAATATTAAATTATACGCATTTTTTTCTTGAATTTCATTTAAATTGATTGGATTGAATTAAATCTACTTCGTCGAGAGAGCATAAACCACAATAGAATAAATGCACTTTTTAAAATTCACTATATTTGTTTACTATAACGACACTCTGAATGCACAAAATTTATATCATTTGAAGAATTATCGTTGCCACATGTTCTATTCAAATACATTAATAAAGCTAAAATGATGTATGAAAGAAATTAAGCAAACAAAACAGAAAAGAAACAGTTTTTCACAGACGATTTAGTATTTCTCATTCAATTAATTCAGTTCTCACTTCACGACAAGGCAAAGATACATAAAAACTCAAAATATCTGCATTAAAAATTACGAAGTAAATCCTAAACACTTATTTCCTCGAAGAAATTCCAGAAAGGATTAAACATGATTTAATTCGCAATAATAAATGAAGGCGTTATTTTTGTGTTGTGAAGCTTAGTCTCTCTAGATTGGCAACAAATCTACAATTCTGCTGTTTCAAATATAAACAAATATGTCCGCCATGTTATTTAAAAAGTAGGCTTAACCGCACTTAAACAGCTTTTAAATTGTTGATAATTGCACAATATTGCATTCCAGAATTTACGAAAGGCATAAAAATCCTTAACCGGAAGATAAAAAACACATAATTCAATCATTTTTAAAGCAAAAAATGTACAATTTACAAACATATAAGAGTAAAGAAACTGAGATCACTGAACCGGGTAACAGAGTGGATATATATATAAATATATTTATATACGTTTGGTGTGGCTGATTGCAACCAAAATACGAGGTGCACATCTACATGTTATAGCAGTCCTATATACAAAATTTCAACGCTCTGAGGCTACTCGTTTTTGAGTTATGCGAGATACATACGTACAGACGCCATGAAACATTCTCTTCAGAATTCATTTTAAAGCAGCTTTATAATTTTTTTGGAGGAAAAGAGTCTTTTTTTCTGTCCTTACGTACAGATATCACACAAAAACATCGTTAAATTGCATTCGATAGCGGTCAAAATGGATATTTTCGTTGAAATATGTTGCCTGAAACTTTTGCCGATTACAATACTTCCTTTTTACTTCGTACAAGGAAGTAAAAATGTTTGCAGCAGCTAAAACTGCTTCTTTTAAAATTTTGTTATCTACAGAGGATGTAAGATCCAGCAACTGAAACAGAATAAATAACACTGTTGCAACTGACTAGATCAGTCATACTTAGTGAAAATACTGCTGCTAAGAAGAGAAGAAGCTAATTCTAGTGTTTTTATGATGCAAAATATAGAATATTTCTTAAAACAAACACTTTTACAGCAACTACATTTGCTTCTGTTACATCTGTAGGAAAACATACCATACGTGCTTCCTAAAAGTGAAACATATACATCTTATTTCTCCTACCATTACTCCAACAAATGTTTTAAAAAAATATAAAGCAGCATTAAAAAGAAACTAGGCATTTTCTCACATTTTTCTAATCTAACCTCACTTGCAGATCTTCATCTATCAATTAAAAAGCAATCAGTTTTTACAATATAAAAAGTACTTGTGACCAAAAAAATCAAGAAGTACTATTATTCTTAGTCTAAAAAACATTTTATATATTAATCAATAACTTATAATCTAAATGCACTTTTAAAAAAAGTAATTCCATTTCTATAAAAATACATACAATTAGCTTAGATAATTCTTGTAGCAGAAGCATGCAATAAATGATTATATATTTACAATAAAATTATTATGTTTAAAAAAAATACAAATATGTCTCATAGTATTACAGTCAAAAGTCGTTAATTCGGACACCCATAATTCGGAATGATCTATAATCCGGACATCAAAACTAAAAACTTTCTGCGCATGCGCCGCGTTGACACATGCGCAGAGGCGTTCGCGTAAGACCTTTTACGACTGCGCATATGAGTATGCGCAAGTGCAGAATACGTTTTCGCGTGCGCATTTTATGTATAATGGACGTATAAGCTAAATAATTATCTATTTCAGTTAATGTTGATGATTGCGTTGTTCCTTAATTTTCGAATTGCATCCGGCTTATTATTTTTTGCAGACTGTAAGAGAAATTTTATAAAAGTAAGCTTAAACTTTCGATTATATCAAATAAAATTTCCGATATATATTTGTTAATATGTAAAGGATCTAAAGCGAAAGTATGTTTTGAAATCCGAAATCTGTTTATCATTTTCACGCTGCTCGGCGGCGGGCGCGTAATGAATTGGAAGTTGGTTTGTCAGCACTATCCTTATCTTCAGCGCAGATGTTTTTATTTTATTTGGCTTATAATTCCTTACCAAATGTAGTATTTCATCTCGATATGCTCCGTCTTTGATATGATTTAAAACAAGTTCCTCGTCATTATAATTCGCTTCCGATAGCGAAGAAAAGTGACAGAGGTTATTGAAAACAAAAAAATTTCGATTGACAAATTAGTTGGTGCTCTTGACACAGCAATTATAGGGACTTGAACGGCGGAACTTTGTAACTGAACAAGAAATTATGTCTGTTTAATAGAATTAAAGAGAAAGTATTATCACATGAAACGAAGCAAAACTTAACAACTTACATTGAAAGAAATGTTTAATAAAGTAAACAAAATAATATTAAGCTTTTTCTTTTTGCAAATTTTGATACCCTTTAGATCATAATTGTTCTTTATTTCATAAATTACGGTTTCATATTTTTAATTTTGGAATTTCTGCATGCCATCTTACGAGATTTAAACTGATGATCTATAATCCGGAAAAATCGATAATCCGGAATCGCCGAAGTCCCGACGAGTCCGGATTAACGACTTTTGACTGTATTTCATTTTAACCAACTTTTAATGTCTCATGTACCCTCTAAAACATCTATTCTATAAAAATAATTTATTGTAAATACAAATATTGATTAAAAAAATAATCTACCTCTGTTGGTGTCTGAGAATATTCAAGGAGTCTTTCGACAGCAACTATATTAGTTTCTAATTCAGAGCTCATTCTCACCAACCAATTCAAAGTAGCAGTTACCTATAACAATTATATTAAAATGTTATTAAATTCATATTTAAAAACTGAATTCAAACAATATACTATCATTCCAATATTTCAATATTTAAAAATGTCATTATAACCCTAAAAAATTTTATATTTGAAGAATAAAATATGAAATAAATCTCCACTAACATTAGTATAATTTACACAACGTAACATTATGCTAGTTACATTTCAGAAACTAAAAACGATGGAATTAAGATTTTATTGACATAATCATTATTACAAAGTACATTAAATTTTATGATTCTAAAACAAAACTGCCACATGAGATATTTTCTTAAATTTGAAACTGTATGCCAAAAAAATCACTCCAAAGCAGCTGAATGGATTTCTGTACTTCTGAAGAATCCCTTTTCATGCCAAAAGGTCATAAGCAAAGGGAGTACCCAGAACTATTCTAATCATTCAAAGAATTTACTTTATTTAAATAAATCTTGATGCATGCCTTCGAATGAAAAAAGTTACTTTACTTCCACATATTTTAAAAACCTTGTCTATTTTATTAAAAAGAAGTTATTTAAATATGAATAACTTGCACAGCTAACAAACAAACAAACCCCCCCAAAAAAATGAATGAAATCCTAAATTTTTTCAAACATCGTCTTTCAGAACTTTTCACAGTACTGGCCTCACATATCTAACAGTTTAATTACTATCAATTTTTTTATATTTTTTAATTTTCTATCATAAGTTTTCTTACAGCATAAAAAAAAGCAACAAAAACTCATTAGATGTTCAAAGGAATTACAACCACTTCTTTGAAAACCATTAAATGAATTTAAAACATTCAAAAACCTCTTTTTTTTTTAAATTCCTGCCCTTTTGGTGAAAAAAAATCAAAAATATAATTTTTTCTATGTATGTTAATGAAATTTTTCCTTCAATATATACACGGTTGCCTGCATAATTTGAAGAATACAGTGATTAACAGTGATTACATTAATTTCATAATAGTTTAATAAGCTAATTGTGCAAATTAATATTATTTCAAAAAATGCTTTTCATTTCTATTTATCAAAATATATCCCAAACAAATGCTGAATTTTGTAGATTATTAAAATGAATACTACTTTCTTATTATACGAATCAAAACTGAATAAAGTTAAAATATGACTATTAAATGAATTAATTAAATTATACTTACCATAAGTGCATAAGTAACAGATAAGCCAACACTTCCTGCATGTAATTCATCTTTTTGAATAACAGCAAACAAGGCAGCAAACAGAATAATACAATTACCACAAAAGTCCAGACGAATAGCTAACCATCTAAAAAATTGAATATGAAAATTCTTAATACTACTGTTACACAAGCTTGTATTTAAAGAATAACACATATTCTTTTAAAAAAATTATAAATTAAGGAGCAGCAAAAAATTTGACAATCAGATGAAATTTCTGATGCTCAAATGAAAATACTCCCACCCCCCGAAAAAAAAAAGGAATTCTTTAAAACAATTTATTAAAACGCTAACATAGTAATTACATTCATATTCGTAACTAAAATAATCAAAATTCTTCAATTAAGAAATGAACAAAATAAACTTTAAAACAAGAAATTCAGGTATTGTTCTGTTATCAGGGCCAGATCCAGAAATGCATGTATGGATGTTTTCATCTATGCATGTACATATGTAAGCACGAATGTGTATGTGTATATATTCATATATGCACATACATAAATACACATGTGCATACATTCATACATTTCTGAATTCGAGATAACAGAACAGTATTGAAATGTATCCTGAAAATCATATATTCATAATAAAATATTTACTAAAATCAATAAAAGATTGCAGATGCTCATCTGTATAACTTCAAATTTTGTCAAAAGAGTTCTTTAATATTCGAATTCTAGTTAATAATGAATGCATTCAGTGAAAAGTTAAATCTTTCCAACAAGGTTAAGTTTTTTTCAGCCTGTTTCATAAAATAGCTGATTTAGATGTTGAATAGAAGTTTCTTTTTGTTATTATAATCTTAAAAACAAAGTAAACAAAATTTTACTAAAACTCTTACCATGAAAATTAATAAAATAGGTCAAATTTTATGAGGATTTAAGTTATTAGATAAGTTAGCTAAATCTAATCTTCACCGCAAAGTTTCAGAAAATCCACAGCAGTTTTCTTACAATTTGCTTCAAAAAGGACGATCAGTTCTTACAGTTAATGAAATTTTAAATAACAAAGTTATAAATTTTGAATTCCCCACCCTCTTAAATTTATTGATTTTTTTTTTTTTTTTTTTTTTTTTTTTTTTTTTTTTCACTCATATGTGAACTCATATGTGAATATCTCTTTTCTTTTTTTAACAACAGTTCAATGCTGACAAATTTCAGTCTGTTAATATTTTAGACTATGCACATAATAAAAGCATAATTATTAAATGTTAAGGACTATTCTTTTTCTAATTGTAATTCTAAAAGAGAAATGGTTTCTCTTTACATCAGCCAATAAAGTTTGCTTTTCTCTTGTTATTCAAATTTAGATTGCTAACAACATAAGCAAATGAGGACATAAAATAATTTGGGTGTGGGATAGTGGATTTCAAAATATTGTTAGAAAATAGCTTCCGAAAGCTGCCTTTTAGAAGCTTAACTGATTGTAAAATAAATTACAGCAATGAGAGAAAAAATGCTAGAAAATTACTCTTAAAAAAATTTGACAGATGTTCATGTGTTTACTATACATTAATTTTACATATAAAGAAGTAATACAATGCTAAGTGTAAGCACGATTGTAAATTATTTAATTGCTATTAGACAAAATATCTATTGAGAAAATGGCAACAGCTGATTTCTGGATGTCGTTCTATTTATAATTTTTAAAAGATATTGAGATGATGTATGCTTGAAATGTTTAGTGGTACGATGCAGTAAGTACGTTTGTTATGTTATGTATGTTTATGAATACGTTACGTGTAGGTTATTAAGATTTATCTTTAAATAAATGTTTGTCTTTTACAACCATTTTATGAGTGATTAATTTAACTACAAAAGGAAGTTAAATCAGAAGTGGGATTATTCTGAAACCTAAGCTTAAAGCTACAAGAATTTGCTATACGTAAATAAATTGAAAATAATTTGAATTTCAAGGTATGTGCATTGATTGATGTAACATATTTATTACAGAATTTAATTTTGTTATTTTTTTAACATTTGGGAAAGAGAGTTTATTTTTTTCATTTCCTTAAATTTTGAAATATATTTAGAACGTCAAACAAACTTATGAAATACCAATAACTGTGTTCTACTAAGTTGTCTAATTAGAAGTTAATAATAATATATATATATATATATTTGCATTTTAATAAGTACGAAAATGTCTATTTTCGGTAAGACAAAGAAATGCGATTTAAGAATATTAGCTGAAGAATTGGAAGAAGATGTAAATGAGAGTCATAAAATGAGCGATTTGAAAAAGATAATTTTAGAGTACGATGAAGAATGTGCCAAAGAATGGTTAAATATTATAATAAATGAAAGAAAAGAAAAAGAAGAAATTGAAGAACAAAAACATCAAGAATAAATTGAAGAACATAGGCGAAAAGAAGAAATTGAAGAACGTAGGCGAAAAGAAGAAATTGAAGAACGTAGGCGAAAAGAAGAAATTGAAAAATGTAAGCGTAAAGAAGAAATTGAAAAATGTAAGCGTAAAGAAGAAATTGAAGAACATAGGCGAAGAGAAGAAATTGAAGAACAAAAACGTCAAGATGATGAATGTAGGCGAAGAGAAGAATATGAGGAACGAAAACAAAAGTATGAAATGGAATTTGAACTGCAAAAATTATGTATTGAAGCAGAAAATAAATCTACAAATTCTGGCACCAATGAAAATGCTAGTGGTGCACACATGAATCCAAAGTTAAGCTTCATCGCTTGATGCAAAAATTTAAACCTGACGAGAATGATATCAGTTTATATTTAATCATGTTTGAACGTTTGGCTAAACAAGTTAAAATACCAGAAAATACATGGGTTACTCATTTGTTTGGCTTATTGCTGTATGATATTGCTCAGTTAATCACCAGACAAACTGATGAGATTGCTAACGATTATAAAGAAGTTAAAAGGATTTTATTAAAATGGTACAAGGTGACATCTGAAAAATTTCGCCAAAAATTTTTTACGCACAATAAGAGTGTATGAAACCCATTGAAGAATTTTGCGTATAAGTTAAGAATTTTTTTTAATGAATGGATAAGCGGAATTAAAGTAGATACTTTTGAGAAACTTAGTGACCTTATTGTAGCGGATCAGATAAAACGTAAAGTGTCTCCAGAAGTAAAAGATCATTTTATGGACGTCTGGTCTGAGTTGATTTCACCAATTGATTTAGTTGAAACACTAGATGATTATGATACCTTGAATTCAACTTTCAACAATAAACAACCGCATAAAGAATGGTCTTACGACAAAAAAACTCCTTTAAAGATGGTCCAGTTGCTACAATCAACAAAAAGAAAAAACTCTACGGTATCACACATAATGAAAAAGGTGAACCAAAATGCTTCAGCTGTAATAATTTTGGACACATCTCAAGGGACTGTCCGCTGCCCAAACCAGTAGTAACATGCCGAAAATGTAATAAAACAGGTCATAAAGCTAAAAATTGTGTTACTAAAGCTGAAAATAATCATTCAAATGATAAAAATTATTCTGTTGAGCATGTTGGCGAAAATTCAGAAGAGAGATATTCATATTTGAAGAAAGCAAAACTGAATAATTCGGAAGAAGTACAGGCTTTAATTGATACCGGGAGTTCTTGCTGTCTCTTAAGGACTTCAGTTGCTCAGAAACTTAAAGTGAAACCCGAACCTGCTATGAATGAACTGTATGGTTTTGGAAATCGAAGGGTGCCTGCAGTGACTTCTATAGGAATGATTAAAGCCGATATTGAAGTTGATAATGTAAAAGGCCAAGGCATAAATATATACCTTGTTCCTGACAATGCATAGCCAGTTGATCTAATCATCGGACGGACATGGCTTGACATCGGTTTGTCTGGCGATCTCCCTCACATCGCTTGTGTCAGAATAGGAAAAAGATTTCACTTCGGGTATAGGGAAGATGAACTATTTAGTAACCTCCAAATTGATGAAAAAATAAATCGAGTCTGCCTTGAGCTCTTGAGGAAAATAAATTAGAGAAAAATACGATCAGTCTTGTCAGTTCTCAAACAGATTCTGTAGATAATGGATTAATTATGATAGAAAATCCTTCCGAAGGTATCGGCTGTTTATTAGAAATTAAAAGAGGCGAAACTTGTATACCAGTGCGAACGTTGGTGATAGAAGTATTAAGCTCCAAAAAGATCAATGTGTTGGGAGAGCAGAAGAAGTTGAACTATGTTTAAATACTGAAATTTCTGAATTGAGCTCGAACTTAGCAAAAACAGAAAATATTATCAACATAAAAGTTCCTATAAGTTTAAGCCAAGTTAAAATTGGCTCGGATCTCGACGTTGATCACCAGCAAGAGTTATTGTGTCTTCTGAATGAATACAGAGATTGCTTTTGCACTAAATATTTCAGAACTAGGGTGCACAGATCTCCTAAAAATGGACATTAAGGAAATCGAAGGTTCAAAGCCAGTATGTATGAAGCCTTATAGAACAAATGCCTCTGAAAGAGCTGCGATCAAAGAAACAGTTCAAGAATGGAAAGAAAATGGAATTGTAACACAAACGCAATCCCCATATGCTAGTCCTGTCATACTGGTAAAGAAAAGACTAGTGAATACAGATTAGTTGTTGATTACAGACGTCTCAATAGTCAAACTATAAAGGATAAATTTTCCCTGCCTAAAATAGAGGATTTATTAGAACAATTTCATGAGTGTAATCTGTTTACAACACTAGATTTATCACATGGATATTTACAGATTCCATTAACCAAAAGTGCAAAATTGAAAACTGCTTTTGTAACACCGGATGAAAGCGGACAATTTGAAAGAATGATTTTTGGCTTGACTAACGCTCCTGCAGAATTTCAATGATTAATGTATCATGCATTATCCTCATTATAAATAAAGAAGTATTGTGCTACCTTGATGATGTACTTGTTCCAGCAAGGACTTGGGAAGAAATGATTCAGAAATTAATTAAAGTATTTGAAGCACTACGTACAGCTAAGCTAACCCTGAAGTTACTGAAATGTGAATTTGCCAAATAAGAAATAGAATATTTAGGCTTTATCATCAATAAAAACTGAATAAAGCTGGGATCAAGAAAAGTTGAAGTAATATCAAAATTCCAGAGCCTAAAATCCTTCATGAAGTTTGACGATTTCTTGGTTTAACAAGTTTTTTTAGAAGGTTTATTCCAAATTATGCCATTAAAGCTGGACCATTGACTCAACTAACTAAGAAAAATCAAACATTCAGATGTAAAGAAAGTCAGCGGAATTCTTTTACAATGCTGAAAAATGAACTGACGAATCAACCAATTTTAGCTTTGTACAACCCTAAAGCTTAAACAGAAGTCCATACTGATGCATGCTCAGAGGGTATTGCTGGTATGTTACTTCAGCTTGGAAGTGACGGCAAATGGCATCTTGTCTACTGCGCGAGTAAAAAGACAACAGAAGCTGAAAAGAATTATCACTCAAGTAAACTTGAGCTAATGGCAATTGTCTGGACTCTAGATAAACTTCAACAATTCTTACTCGGAATTGAATTTATGGTAGTTACCGACTGCCAAGCATTGGTTTACATGAATGCAAAGAAATCTAGCAATCCCCAAATTGCTCGTTGGAGTATCCTTATTCAAAAATATAATTTTGAAATACGCCAAAAACCAGGAAATAAATGTCTCATATCGATGCAATCAGTAGAGCTCCTGTTATTAATTCATCAGACAACATGCATTCTTTGATAGAAGATAATTTAGAAGTTTGTCTGACCTTAAATTTAGACGAACAAATTCTTATTCTAGTTAAGAGAATTAATAACAATTTTGAAGAAAGACCCAAGTGAAAGAACCAAAGAAAAAATCAAATTGTGGAAAATTATATTTTGAAAAGGAATAGACTGTTCCGTATTGTGGAGGATACAGAAAATAAGAAGTTATTATACGTCATACCTAAAAGCATGAGAAAAAGCATAGTTGTGAAGTTTCATGACCTTATGGGACATTTTGCTGTTGATGGGACTGTCTCAAAAATCAAAGAACTGTACTGGTTTCCTGCTATGAAGAGATATGTTTGTCGATGTATATCAATGTGTTTCAAATGCCTCATCAACAAAGTTCCAGGTGGAAAAAGACAGGGTCTTCTGCATCCTATACCCCCAGGCTGCAGACCTTTTGCAACAATACACATTGATCATCTTGGACCCTTCATCACAAGTTCTAAAAGAAACAAGAAATTGTTAGTCGTCATTGATAATATGACCAGATTCGTTTGATTGTATGCTATGAAAAACACATCTTCGAAAAATGTACTGAAATCATTGATCAGTTTCATAGAAGAATTTGGATTATCAAATCGTATAATATTAGATCGAGGTTCTTGTTTTACTTCAAAGGAATTTCAAAATTTTTGCAAGGAAAAAGGAATTCTTCATACATTAAATTCAACCTCCCACCCACAAGGAAATGATATGGTCGAGAGATCGAACAGAACAATTTTATCAACGATAGTAACATCAATGAAAAGTAAAGATCAAAAGGATTGGGACAAAAGAATTAAAGAAGTTGAGAGAAACTTGAATAACACAATCAATAAAACTATTGGGAAAACACCATTTGAAATACTTCAAGGATATGTACCATTATTTCAAGATGGTTGAGATTACTTGCTGATGAAGAAGCAGAAGTTTGGAAGGAACCAGAAAAACTACAAAAAGAAGCTAGAGAAAAGACTGTTAGAGAACAAGAAAAAATGAAAACTTATTATGACAAGAAGAAATCGGGAACTCTATCATTTGAGCAAGGAGAAATAGAAGTAGTTAAAAGAAATTCAAAATCTACACCTGGAGAACCAAGCAAAACTAAACCTAAGTATTGTGGTCCAATGGTTGTAACAGAAGTACTTCCGGGCGACACTTACAGAATATCGCAACTAGACGAAGCCTGCGATGGTCGCTTTTATGCATCAACTGCTCATGTAAGTCAACTAAAATCTTGAAAAATGCAGAAGCAAATAATGATCATGACAATGACAACGATGGCGATAATGAAGAAGATGATGATGAACTTAAAAGGCCCAAGCAAACAGTGCGCAAACCATTGCACTATAGAGACTTTGTATAGGACTTATAGAATTTTTTTAAAAATTATATTTCATTTTATTTCTTTTCCCTACCTATTATATTTTTGTTGTTGTTTATTTGTCGTTTTAATGTATGATAAGATTTGGTTCAATTGAGAACAATTGAAAAGTCAGGATAGTCGAATGTAAGCACGGTTGTAAATTATTTAATTGTTATTAGACAAAATATCTATTGAGAAAATGGCAACAGCTGATTTCTGGATGTCGTTCTATTTATAATTTTAAAAAGATATTGAGATGATGTACGCTTGAAATGTTTAATGGTACGATGCAGTAAGTATGTTTGTTATGTTTACGAATACATTACGTGTAGGTTATTAAGATTTATCTTTAAATAAATGTTTTTCTTTCACAACCATTTTATGAGTGATTAATTTAACTACAAAAGGAAGTTAACATAAGTAATAAAAAACAGAACATTTAAGTCATACTCACCTATTTGATACAATGCTAGGATAATAGCATATCTGATTATCATCCACCAAACTATTAGACTGCACACAAAACCTGTGTTCAGCATCATAAGCTCGTATAGTACTTGCACCAGCTAATGTTTCAGAAAAATGAGAATATATAGGTGATCGTGTGATAGATTCCAATCTCTTTAACTGCCTGCTTGTTGCAACGTAGAAACGCTGAAATAGATTTAATTTTTGTTCAAAATAATAAGATAGAATACATTCATATAATCCCTGTCCCAAATTTTAAGCAATGAGTACAAATATGATAGAGAAAAAGGTAAAATACTAGAACTGAAGATTTGAAAAATTTGCAAACTAAAACAAAACCTAATAAAATATCACAGAAATAGCATTTAAAATTGTACTATTACACTGCCCAACTATCTTTTCTTTCAAGTATTAAATTTTTAACTGTTCAGAATAATATATTCAATGGTTTTGAACTTTAAAAACTCCAAAACAAATCTACTTGCCACAGGATTGTTACGCAGTATTTTATGAGAAAGAATTATGATAAGCTTTTAATATTTTCTCTTTAATTATTCATTGAAAGAAAGCTAATTATAATCTGCTTAAAATTAGGTAGCATTTTGAAAATTCAAACATAAATCATAATCTATGATATATACATCTACAAAAATTTGAATTCAGGATCTAATTTTTGAGAGTAGGAAAATTTCATTGGTTACACATATTTAAAAGAAACATAACTATTCTGATTATCAGAAAATTATCCCATTTCCCTCAGTATCAGTTTTATAATGCTAATCAGTTTTATAATGTTAATTAAAGCTAATCACAGTTTATTATAAAATGCTTATAAAGTGAAAGTTTTTTAAATTCTAGTACATTTCACACATTTTTCTTACTGAAAACGATATTATGCTATTGTGTTTATTCGACAGATAAAAATATAAAAATTCAAGACCTTCACAAATATTTTTTTCATTTTAACAGACATTTAAATTATGCAAACAAAAAACACATCATTTCAATCAAATTTTATCAGTGAGTAAAGAATCTTACCTGGATGAAATAATAAATGATGCTAATAGGCAATACCACAACCAAGAACAGTGGTGTTTGGATGCTTATCACAACAAGTGTTGAAACTACAGTCAGAAGGCAAGTCAACCAGGCCCTTAGAGTCATTGGAATAGTAACATCAATAGTATCAATATCTTTGGCAAAACGGTTGACGATACGTCCCAAGGGAGTAGTATCAAAAAAAGACATCGGAGATCGTAATACATTTACTAATATATTATTATGTAGAACTTTTGAGGCAATGAGAGTTCCATAGGCAACAGAAAATGAGCCAATGAGTAAAAATATTGCTAAATGGGAAAAATGAAATAATATATATATACATATATAATAATAATACATATGTTACATTAATAATTATTTTAATATGAATATAATCAAATCAACAGTTTTAGTAATTTACAGTTATGTGTACATTCAAAATGAAGACAAAATGATTCTCCAATTTCCAATATACTGGGTGTCCCTAAAGTCTGTAAATATTTTAAAAATTTATATAAACTGAAGGAATTAGTAGAACTGAACATGGTTTGCGAAAAAGTTATTCTTGTGAAGGGGCATTCTTTTTGGTAAAGAAAACGAAAATAGTTAAAAATTTCATCGATAGAGGGCACTGCACAGACCAGTAACAAGAAATATACCAACCAGAAACCTAAAAATTGCAGAGTTTTATGATTAAAAGTTAATTTCTAATTTTAACTCCCATACATAAAGTTTTAACTGTAATGCAACCATTGGTGGATAAAGCATTATTGCTGAAGTTATTTTACCCCAGCCATGAATTGCTGACTGAAGCTTTATGAAGACTTCAGACACAGATGGAATGGAAGGAAGTTTCAAGTCCAATCACTCTTAGTGGACTGACTTTCCTGTTACAATGTTTTAAAAAAATGGGAAGTCTGTGTCATTACCCTTGTAGTGGCGCACCAAAATTTTGCAGATGGTCACTCAAAGGGAAATCAATGAATGCCGTAAGCATGAGAAGTAGCACAAAACACTGGTATACTGAAGACATCGGTATTCCACATTTTTCATGGTGTTTTACAAGTTACAATCAGTATATCAGCTCTTATGAAATGACAAAGCTAAGTGACAGGAAATCAAAAATTGGGCTTTGTTGAAAATTGATGTTGATCCACAATAGCTTCATTTTTCATTTAATTTCACACCCATAACTATAGAATCTAGGCAAAGGATAACCCATGTGCCTAAGCTGAAGAGCCCCTAAATTCACCACATTTTAACTATTTGGTGGGGTTTTAACGTCCCCCATTACTGTCGGCCGTTTTTCTTTGAAAAGCACTGTGCACAAAGCACTGGCTGGAAGACCTGCTCAACTACAGAAAACATTACCTGTGACAGCTGCAGAAAAAAGCAATAGTGCACCTACTGGATCATAATGCCCTTGATATAGTGACTTGAATAAAAGACTGGACACCCCCTCATACCACATTCAAAGTAAAAACGCTTCTAAGAACCTTCATTGAACAGCGACTAATTAGCTGTCACAATAGAAATACTTGCAGTGAGTGCCCCCCCTCATCGAAGTTCATACCAATTCACTTTATTTTTGGCTTTGGGGTTATGCCAAGTCCAGATCACATGCATCCACTTAAATATGCTACATGCTGCAGTTAACAGTGTTGTAACTCGCTTGCAAATTGTAATTTGTGGTGATGGTGCGAAAAAATGATATGCTTGTAAACATTTGCCTTTGCTCCCATATAGCAACCTCTATCGGCAAAAATTTTAAATAATTTTTTTCCCTTTACCAAAAAATTCCCCCTTTCACAAGAAAACTGTTTCACAAACCATGTTTAATTCTACCATTTCCTTCAATTTGTGTGAAGTTTTAAAATATTTATGGACTTATGGTACAGCTGGTACATACTGTAACACTTTACTTATGTGAATTCAAAATCACCTAGTTGCTTATTTTATTTTACAAAACTATACCTGTAATAACATTGCATTGGAAATTGTCAGTAATTAAGGAAATGGCAGTAAATGAAACATTGCTCAGTTAATGTTAAATGGCATTTTGCACTTAAGTAGCTGAGGAAGATAGCTCTGCAGTTAAACCATCAAAAGAAGTCCAGAAAAATTTACAAATATTATGCTTATTTTTATTTCTCAAACAATCAAAGTTCTTTGATGAACTTCTGGATCAGTTTTCCCCCCCATACAATTAATTTACCACCTGCACTAATCCATTAATTCCTCTGCCTATGACTGATATTTACCAAAACGTTTGAATTCTAATTGTGCCTTATCTGTTACCACAAGAAATGCTTTCAAAAGGGAAGTTTTAAATGCTTTGAAGCTATAATTCTCATTCGCTGTTTGACCTCATATATACCTTTGTATCAGGACCTGTTCTCGAAGTGCAGCAGTTGGTATGGTCACCTTCTGCAACTCTGCAAAAGAGTATATTAAAAAAAACCTAAATATTCCAAAAAATTCAACATCGAAATTCTACCATCAAAAGTAGTGGAGAACTTCATTGATGCATGCATGGTATCCATGATAAAACCAAAGCCTTCTATTAGAATTCCTGGCGAAAGAGGGACTTGGAGGTTTTCAGGGGGAAAAGCAGTCTAAAATGGCTTGACCTTGTGACATGTCTGTGAAAATTTCAGCTGCCAGATGCAAGGCTGCAATTATAACTGAATCTAAGGTTAACGTTCTCTTTTGTACACCCTTATCACTGCATCAAACTGCTTGCTGCTTAACAAGTTACAAACACAGGAAAAGATTTAAAATTTTTTACACATTCAACAGAATAAGAAATAAGCTGACTTACATTATTTTACTGGTGCACAATTTAAAGCATTGGCTAGCGAGTATGCTAAAGCTAGAATATTAATTTTAAGCAGAGCTAGCAAAAATATACTAACAGCAAACATGACAGCCAGAAGCTCCCTCACCTAAAGATTAAAAAATATCAGCTTAAATACACGCTAATTTGTACACTTTGCTAAAGATAATTTGCATTCTGGTGAGCAATATGAAAAAAAAAAAAAAATTATGGCAAAAATTAAAATCATAGTAACTAGTTAATTAACATATGATACCTAGGAAATTCGTAAATCTGTTAAGTTAAAAATTTGTAAAGCATAGTTAATCATAGAGTATAGATCCCAAAACAACTTAGAATGTATAAAAAAATGCAAGTTTAATATCTAACCATGCAGAAAAGTCAAAGCATTTATATATATGGTGGCTTAAACCATTTTACTTCCAAAACCTTCACTTTGTACATTCTGCTACTCAATACATACTACATAAAACAAAGTAATGATAAGTTCAATTACTTCTTTTGATGCTTTATGTAAACGTTTTTCAGCTGGCTTATAATATGTAAATAAAGTTAATTTATGAACCTTTGCTATGAAAACATAATATTAAAAGAGGAAAGATCTTATTGTCGTATATTCAGATTCCAGCCATTTACGGCAAATTTATATGCATGGAAAAGGTTTATCTTTTGTGAGTGTTTTGTGAGTTGGTAAAAAAATGACATTAATTCTCATGTTTACAAGAAAACTGCATTAACAGTCTTGCAGTTTTTGGAATATTTCCAAATTTTAGCCATATTGCAATAAAAGCTTTTACATAGTACTATATTGCTATTCTCTGATTTTAAACGAGATCTCTAATAAACATTATACACAACATTATAATTCCACAAAAACATTTGCCATCATTAAACGAAGAAAATGCCCATTCAATGGCATAATGATTCTTATCAGAAATCAAAATTTCTTCCTAGACCAAATATTGTACGTTTTACATGTTTCATAAAGCTATTTGAAAAAAACCAAAATTTGCTTAATTATATCAATCTAAATATCTAAACAGTGAATGCAAAAAACACATACATAGCAATAGACTTTAATGGTAAAAATTCAAAAAATATTTCAGTTGTAAAAACTTGACTGTATATGTAAAATATTTCAGTTGTGAAAACTCCTTTAATGTTTTTTAATGTCAAATGAACATACTGAAAAGAATCAAAGTAGTCTTAAAAATCAGTGTTTCCACTTAAATTTAGCTTTTAACTTCCCAATTTTCAGTGCCTGAATTACACAATTTTGCCAGCTAAGTATCAAGTAATTATTAAATTTAGTATGAATAATAATAATTTTATAAATTATGTGCAAATTATAATAATGTATTAAATATATGATGAAATAATTAAAAGCATTACACAATTTTACATATTTTAATCTTACTTGGCATTATATTATTTTATCTCACTCAGTGTGGAACTAATGAAAAAAATACATATAAGAAATAGGCATCTAAACTATTAAAAAAGTAAGTAAGGTTTATAAAAAAGAATATCAAATACAGGAAAACTGTTTATTTCCTCAAAAAATTTACACACGGCACCATGCTTTGTACATCCCATTTCTAGGAGATAAGGATTATACTGAAGTGAAAAAGGGTTTATTTGATATATTTATTTATGATAATGCATGATGGCACAAATGATGATAATGCATGATGGCTTTGACTTTTCTGCATGGTTAGATATTAAACTTGCATTTTTTTATACATTCTAAGTTGTTTTGGGATCTATACTCTATGATTAACTATGCTTTACAAATTTTAACTTCACAGATTTACGAATTTCCTAGGTATCATATGTTAATTAACTAGTTACTATGATTTTAATTTTTGCCATAATTTTTTTTTTTTTCATATTGCTCACCAGAATGCAAATTATCTTTAGCAAAGTGTACAAATTAGCGAAGTGTATTTAAGCTGATATTTTTTAATCTTTAGGTGAGGGAGCTTCTGGCTGTCATGTTTGCTGTTAGTATATTTTTGCTAGCTCTGCTTAAAATTAATATTCTAGCTTTAGCATACTCGCTAGCCAATGCTTTAAATTGTGCACCAGTAAAATAATGTAAGTCAGCTTATTTCTTATTCTGTTGAATGTGTAAAAAATTTTAAATCTTTTCCTGTGTTTGTAACTTGTTAAGCAGCAAGCAGTTTTGATGCAGTGATAAGGGTGTACAAAAGAGAACGTTAACCTTAGATTCAGTGATAACTTAAACCATTTTACTTCCAAAACCTTCCCTTTATACATTTTTTTATTTATTTTTATATGCAATTTTCATCATTTTTCCATTTATTTTTTATATGCAATTAATCCTAAAATGATAGCCAGCAGAAGAGTGAAAACAGCTCAGTATGATGTGAAGGATATCTAGGAGTCGATAAACTTGTATCACATATAAGGTGGGTAAAATGCTATCTGTAACAAAAACTTAAAAGATTACAGTTACATTTTATTTTAAAACTGAAAAAGAAACATGTCAGTGTAAAATTTAAAAATCAGGCAAAAATGCGACCTTAGTTTGGTGTACATTTTGAACTGAATTCTGTCCATTTCGACAGCAACAAGATGCTGATCTTTTTCAAAAGAAATGAGTTATTTTACTTTATTTTATTTGTTTCCTTCAGTTCAATCATCGTAAATGTAACATTTAGTGCCATTCTGTAAGAACACTTAAAGTTCTCCAGAAGGGGTGTTAATTATATGCTGCAGGGTGAACAATCATAAGAGAGTTTGCTTTGTGTCAGAAAAAGGGAATTTACTACCAAAGAAAGGGAAGTCCCTGTGTTATAGGGTGATCCTGTTGTCAGTTGTCTTTTGAGGTTTTGGTTCTTATTTGCAGAAATAAATGCTAAGATTCACAGCGATTTGCAGCTTGAAAGCCAAGAATATTGAACTTTTTTCCCTCATTTTATGAATTGTATATGAACAGTGCATATTGCATCACTTACTTTTAAAAATAAAATTAAAAAATTTATGAAACTATATTTTTTACCAGAACCGTTCTTTTGGTAGTTTAAAAAAAAGGCAACAGTTTCCACTTCACTTCAGCATGATCTGTAGAGATAGCAGATGCGATACTTGCTAATATTGTGGTATTTTACATATTTTTTCATGTTTTTCCCCTTAAAATAAATTTTATCCCCCCTCAAATATGTATACATGTAGATTTTAGCACAAAAATCATAGTACTATAATAAACAAAAGCTTATTTTATTGTAGTATAATGATTAAAATTAATCAAAGAACTACAACAGTAATTTATTATCATAACAATTATCACTAATTATTAATAAATTTCTTTTTCAGTGTGTGATAATGTTCATACATTTTAGCTCAAAGATTAAAGGTATATTAATTACAATAATTAATTTATTATAATTATTATATTATTAGAGTTCATTGTAATGATAATATAATGGAAGTTATACAGCAAAATATGATAATTTTTAAAGCATTATAATATTAATTTACACAATAGTAATTATTTATTGCACTTTATCATAAATTTATATAAAGACAACAAAATTAAGTTTTGTAAACACTCATATTTTTAACCAATATATAAATAAATAAAAAATGCACAAAATTAAACATAGTAAAACATTTAATTACAAATAATGATTTGCATATCAGTTTAGATTACTTAAAGTAACTTCATGGTTCTTTAAAACTGCAGTCTCTGGATGCCATGAAAATAAACATGGGAAAAAATATGTACAGGTAAGTAGGAAAGCTGTTAGAAGTATATAACCATTTAAATAAAATACAAAAAGATAACAACCAGTTTATACATTGCTTCAAAATTTTATTCATATCATTATGCTTTATTTCTTAGGTGAAGAGATAAGAAATTCTGTAGTAAAGATTATCCATAAATATCATTCAAAGTAGCTTTCGTTGATTACACTAATGATATAAATGTTTACACAGTTTGTTGAAGAATATTATTAAGAAGTAGTTATTGTTTCTACATACTAAGATTTATCACACTGATAATTCACTTTTACAATTTTGATTTTACCCCCTGAGTGTAATTTTTTTATCCTGGATGTGACATGAGCGAGTTTAGGCCACATATACCTTAAAAACTCATTGACATGTTTAAAAAGAGAGACAGAGATTTAAAAAAAAAAAGAAAAATCTGAAAGCTTTTAGCCATGCTTCTGAAAGTCATGCTCTTTGTACTTAAACCATAAAATTCAATTCAACAGCAATACATAAAAATAATTTTAAAATGAGTGTATCTTTAGAATTTCCCATACACAGTCTCGCACGCTGGACATGAAAATGTCTTCCCCCCCCCATACAGTGTTACCATTACTCGCTTTAAAATCGTTGAGCTTGTTAAATGAAAAATTCATTAAAGGGTTACAAAATATGAAATTAATAATAAAACAAATTCCAAATTTGGGCTTCCAGATGCCCATATTCAGTGAAGGATTACGTTATCAAAATTTGATAGCTCTAAGTACTGTTGTTTTATCACAATGCAAGAATCATACATACATTTATACAGATTCTTCATTATTTAATTTCTATAAATACAATGCAGGGTGATAATATGTGGTGGCAACATCTGAAATGTGATTCACTGTTTATAGTGAAGTGACGCAAAATTCCAAAACGAAATTAATAGCCCTCCTGGACTAACGCCCTTTGAACTAACAAAAAGATAAAAAAAAAAAAGCTGATTATACACTCATTGCCATAAAAATTTGTGCACTAAGAAATAACTGGAATTGTAATGAAACTTGGCATGAAGTAGTACATGTCGGGTAGATATGCAAATGATTAGAAATGCAGCATGATTGCGCATTGCGTAATGCCACTAGAGAGCGTTGAACTTCGGCTTCTTGGAGTATAAAACAGGTAAGCAGAGCTTGTTTGAGTGTACTTAATCTTTTGCTAAGAAAACGCTGAGGTAGACATGCCGTTACGCCGCCATCGAAGCCAATATCAGCAGCAGTCAGAGTTCGAGAAGGGAAGAATCACTGGGATGATGGATGCTGGGTGGTCAGCTCGGGGAGTAGCTCATCAGGTAAGCCGTTCTGATTTTACTGTGAGGAGGTATTGGAACCAGTGGACAGAAGAGACATCATTTACATGATGACCAGGATCAGGACGCCCTTGACGAGCCAGTTGTCGAGAAGACCGTCACATTACACGACACGCATGCATAGAGCCAACTGCCTCATTGGCCACTATCCAGGCACAAGCAGCAACTTCATGACAGGCCCCTGTGTCTTCCCGAACCATTGCAAGGTGCCTGGTTGAAGGACATCTGGTATCGCGGTGCCCATTACATGTGTTGCCAATGACACCCACCCACAGATGCCTCCATTTCGAGTGGTGTTGCGCACGACAGGATTGGACTTTAATGGAATGGAACCAGGTCGATTACAATCGTGTTCATGTGTGGAAGCTCCCTGCTGAACGATTCAATCCTGCCTTCGTTTTACAGTGACACACCGTTCCCACAGCTGGTGTGGGGTGCCATTGCTTACGATACATGGTCACCCCTAATATCGATCCATGGCACAATGAAAGGCCAGTAGTACATTCATGACTTCCTTCAGCCATATGTGTTGCCACTCATGGCAGGGCTTCCAGGAGCCTGTTTTCAACAAGCCAATGCTCGGCCACACACAGCATGGATCTTACAAGATTGCCTCTGCCACATTAACACACTTACCTGGCCTGCTAGATCCCCAGATTTGTCACCAATCAAGCATATTTGGGATCATTTGGGACAGCAAATTGGACAGCCTACGAGACTGGCCGAACTATAGGTGCGTTTACAGCAATTGTGGAACGAGATGTATCAAGACACCATACGGAATTTGTATGCCTCAATGCCCACTCGTATCGCATCATGCATTAATGCTAGAGGTGGTCCAACACAGTACTAAAACTTTCACTCATGTGTACTTTTTTCTGTGAAAAATGATCTTTGATTTTCTAATCACTTACTTGTAAAAATAGTACTTACATATATAAAATTTCATCTCATTCTGACAACTCTTTCTTGGTGCACAAATTTGTATGGCAATGTGTGTAAAATAGTAATATAAAATATGTATTTGCCAGTAAACAGTTTAAGCTTGCATAATAAAAAGTCTTATTGGATATTTTCCATTAACAGACAACAGAGGCCAATAGTTTTCATAAGAAGATATATGTTCCAAATTGATACTTCTCTTGAGAAAACAGTCATACTGAAATTGATTCCGATTTAAACAACATCATATATAGATACTGGAATAACAACAAATTATTTTAACGGAACTTATTCATTACTGTTGCCTTCCAGCCATCTTTAAATAAAATGCATTGTTTTTAATCTCCTGTAAGTGTTCCTGTTTCCAAAGAAAATACTTTCAATTAAAATTTATTAATGTGTATCATTCTATTTTAGTTCTTTTTTTACTGAAAAAACAAGTAAACTAAGGCATATTTCAAACATTTAAAATATTTTACCATTATGTCTCCATATAATAAAAATGATCTGCCTATAATATTCATCATGTTTGAAAATGTTTTGCTGCTAATTATTTTATTCAAGAAATTTTTGATTTGAGAGACTGAAGAGGATTTTTAAGATAAATGATTAACAACAAAATTCAAAAACCTTGTGCAAATCCAAGAGCTCCATATATTCCAAGCCTGCGATCTCGTTGAGCAGTAGCTTCTGTTCCATTCTTTTGAGCATCATTACCCCAATCACTAAGCCAAATATTAGCTCCAACTCCAAAGCTCTGCCATGCAATGTATGTTAGAAGAATTAACAACACCCAAGAAAGACCTGCTGATTTGAAATATGCCAAATAAACTGACCATTTGACCTAGAACAGAACATGTATAAGAAATCGTAGATTTTCAGTTTTAATAAATATATAAAAATGTAACAAATCACAATGATAAAGAAAGGTTTAATAAGTAATATATCCTTAACCTTCTGAACAGCATAACCACTTTGATATAGCTCTATGATTTACTCCCATTTGATGTATATTAACTCAGGCCTCAGCAACCTAAGACCTGCGGGTCACCGAATGACCCATTTCATAATTTTAAGTGACCCACTTCAGTTTCAAAAATAAATATTTAAATATATTAGTATAAAATATACACTTGGCAACACTCATGTCATTCTCTCAGTTCTCTAAATTTACTCTCAGCTATAGCACTTGTTTAATAGCAGAACAACAGTAACATAATTGCATTTATATAGTAAAAATAATTATTATTTAAAAAAGTTATTACCATGGACATACAAAAGGCAAAAAAAAAATATTTCAAGATGTATGGAAAGAAAGGTATGTATATATCGAAAATTATGATAAAATGATATGTACTTTATGCGAAAGTGTAATTACCACCAAAATTTACACAAAAGTGCAAGCGTTATGCCAAATGTAGAAACAGAATCTGAATACATTGCTAAATATGTATTAAATTTTGGAAAACAACAAAATAAAAATGTTACAGAGTTTTGCAACTAATCACTATCATACTCCATCTGCCAGCTTTAATGCAGCTCTTAGCATAAGTACATCGGAAAACCATTTACCGACAGCAAAGTTTTGAAAAACATATTCATAAATTGTTCAGAAAACTGCTTTAATAACTGAACCAATAAAAGCAAATCACTGAAAGGATTAAAGAAATGCCATTGTTAGCTAGAATAGTTCAGTGCCACAATGGTAAAAAAATATTGTGAATAAGTCAAAAATGATTTATAATCTAGTGACATAATTAGCATTGCACTCATAGTAAGTACTGATGTAAACAATATGGGTAGGTTTGCAACTGTTATTAGATATGCATCAATAAAGAGTTCAAAAGTCAGTTAAGAACTTTGTGGTCTTGCTTCTATGAATGACACAACCAAAGGCACTGACATTTTTCATTACGTACAAAGGTTTGCTAATTTCAAAAATGAGAAAGCATAGGATTTAAAATGTAAAATGTTTTCCATAACAACTGATCGTGCTCTAACTATGAAAGGAAAAATTTTAATGCATAGTAGGAATGAGGTACTTTAACTTCTGGCTGTAGAGATGGCTGAGTGAAAAATGTAGGAAAAAGATATTGACAAAATTAATTTTGGTGAATCACCATCTTTATTTGTAGACACAAACTTATTTTTTTGCAGAAAATATTACTTTCAATCATCGTTGAATACAATCAATTTTTATGTACATTGGTTTCAAAAGTACGACGTAAGCATTTTGGACAAGACAGTATAAGCAGCGTAGAGTTTTTTGCAGGACAGAATCTAAGAAAAGGAATGGCATAGTTGTTTTGCAAAGAGTATTTATATCTAGTAGATGCAGAAAGTACTTGAAGCTATTAATCCCTTAGCATGCATTATTGGATATTATTTGATAATTCAGGATCCTGCTACTAAAATATATGAGAGTAAGTACTGCTTAGACACCTGTGTTTTTATAAACTTGTTAAGGCTACTAAAAGCAATTCAAAGCAAGAAAGATTCAAATATAAGTTATCTTCAATTAAACTTTTCTTGAAATAAAATGCACAGTAAGAGACAAAACATAAATGGGATATAAATTAAACTTCATAAAGGCAATAGAATACTTCTTTATCAAAAATCTTGTCAAAATTTATCAAAAATATCATTGTTATACTAAATATTCTACATATATATACATATAACAAACATCATTCTACATCACCATTTTATAAAATGTTACCAATGTAAAACCCATATAACATATTATATACAGATTTCAGCAGTTATACTTTCATTTTGTAACTTTCACAAAGAAGCATAGGCACTAAACAGAATGATTGGTTCTATATATAAAAAAAGCTATTTTATGTACATTATTTTAACTTAAAACATTTTATCCAGTAACAGCAAAAGCAAATTAGACTATGAATGTATATAAAAGAAAACATTAAAAGAACTAAGACACACAGAATTTAGAAAAATATGATTAGTCCTTCATACTTGTCCTGTTTCTGCAACTTCAACATTTATCAACTTAGTTCCTTTGTCCAAACCAACTGATGATTTTTTCCTTTCTACTACTTCTTTTGAAGGTGAAGAAGAATGCCCTGCAGGAAGACGATTAATAGATAACACTGACATGCGTCTACTGCTTTCCAAATCTGACTGCTGGTCACTTTCCTCATCTGCAGTATTGCTTCTTTCAGATAAACTCCTGGTAAAAAAAAAAAAAAAAAAAAAAAAGTTGTACAAGTTAAAGTTTGTAAAGATAAACATGTGTCACATAAAAACAAAATGTTGGACATAATTAGCTTTTCTTTACTTATAGGGAAAAAAAAAAGGAAATTCACTGCTAGATAGCACACAAATGATTATTCTATATTGTGATTTGTAATATATGAATATAGAACTTGACTGATAACAAAAAATATAACTTATTAAAAAGTACATAATTTTCTTTTAAATTTTTAAGCAACATACTAAATTAAAATACTGAATGGAAGTTTACTCCCCCTTGAGCACCAAATTTTAGTAAATTTTTTATGGTAGCTAAAATCAAATCCTATAAATACTATTTTAAATGCATTATACGTGAATCAAAAATGACATATGAATCATTCTTGACTATCATAATTCAAACTGAATCTCAAATTTATGACCTCTGATGCCTCTTTTGGTGGATATAGATGACTTAGACAATTTGATTTGACATTTTGGTCATTTCCTAATTGGGCATTCTATTTCCCAAACATTAGTTATTGACATTCAATCCAATAAATTTGAAAAAACAAATTTTGAAAATAAAGCAAACCTTTTGGAAATTTGGAAATACCAATTATTTGGATAATTTATAACAGGAAACAAAGTGTTACTTTGAAAAACAGAACATAAAACTTAATGACATGACTGCCAGAAGTGAGGAAAACTTCCCTCCATCTAAACGGTTATTAGAATGCACAGTAAAAACCTATGGAAAGGACTCAACAATTACAGTAGTAGATGTCAAAAGTAAAAATGGCATCTTAACAGGCTCATTACTATATTAACAGTTTTATCTATTGAAATTGTGTCCTGAATTCACAAAGGAATTACATTCTTAATTGAAATGCATCATATTTTTACTTGTTGTATTTATATCTGATGTAGTTCATTCATGTCTGATGATCAGGCGACATGTCTAGATAGTCTAAATAAAATTAGGCAGCATGTCTAGACACTCCATGCACTTTTCATTTCATAGAACAGACATCCAGTCAAAAAGTTAATCAAACAAGATCAAATGATAGTTTCTTTATCATTTCCACAAGACTTACAAATAATGACAGTTTATCAGGAATCCTCAAAAGCCATGAAAAATAATCTTTACTGTATGACTATAATATTTAATAAAACCAAAATATTATTTTTTAAAAAGAAAAATAATATATATTTGAATTCTATTAATTTTTTACCACATAGAAAAAATTTTCAATTGTTTGAAAGAACTTGTTTGTAGTGGATGCAAAGTCACATTTGAAGTAGGAAAATCTCCCCATATTTCTAGAATTATAAATGTTTATTGTTGAGTGTTGTGTTTAGTGAAAAAGAAACTTCCTTGTGTTAATATTGATAATAAACTAGAAAGTTTCATAAACTGGCCCACCATTGTTAATTACTATATCTGCCTTAACAAATACACTTAATTATAAGGCTCACCAGAGGCCAAGTGGTAAAGTCACTGAACAGTCCAACGGTAGTTCGATCCAAGGTTCAAATCCCATGAGCGGGTCGGCTGCATGGGTGTTTTTGTGCTTTTCCCCCCATCTGTTACGTGTATATCAGCCAGTTTCCCTTAGAAAGTCCTCCATAAAGGCTTCCCTCCCCTTAAGCAGACAGCTCTCGAGGCTTCTGCCTAAGGGAAGACCAATAAACCAAACCTTTAATTATAAACTAGTACTAAGTAATTAAGTTAGTAGAAGAAAATTTACATTCACTTTTAATAATTCAATGTTTGAATAATCTTTATTTAATTAACTAAAATTTACTAAATACTATTAGACATATTAATAAGATGGATGAGGCTGCTGTTTCTTGTTTATTCTTCTGGGGTCTGTTGTATTCTAATATACATTTAAGTCTGATATCAACATGTACATTAGTTGATTTTTGCAGTTAATTTTTACTTGAAATACTGACCAAAGCCCTTTCTTAAACAGATACGTAGAAGCAAAATGAAATATAATTTTTAAAACAGTATTGCATAGTTAACTATATTTCAGTTTTCATTGGTAATAAATTTTAGAAATGATGCATTCCTTCTGCCTGAAATTTCATTTTAAGTCCACTGTTTCTCAAAAGTTCAATGAGTTGTTCTCTTTCAATCAATGATAGTTTGGTATTTTATTATTGCAATGGAAATGATAATAAGCCCATGAAAATTAGCCGTGTTTCCCATTTGGAAAATAAGTTTCAAATTGTGACTTCAGAGTTTTGAAATTGGAAAATATGTCTATTGCATCATTCTTTTCTAGTAACAATATTATTTTCTACTAAAAAGTTTTTGAGGTTGCAAATAGTGAAAACTATCCACAAACCAAGTTTCCTCTCAAACCTCTATTTTCTCATAGCCTTTGAGAATACTCAATTAGTTTGTGGACAGAGATTTAGTCTATTTTGTTTTGAAAATACATCTGAAAGATATGCCAATGGACTTGGCCACATGTCCTCAGTAATAATGCAATACCTCCATTAATTTTGTTTACAAATAACAGGACTTCTAGTCTTTAATTCAAAGAGCTTTGTTAGTATCTCACCCCCATGAAAGCCAGTAAACTTCAAAATGAAGATTTGGTACTTTTTCGTTTTGCCAGCACAGGCGATAAAGTCGGCAATAATGGTACAACTGGTGCCAAATGGAATATCCTTGCTAGTAACCTTTTACGCCTCATTTTCAAAACAAGTCGCCACCATTTCTTATCAGATTGATTGTCTCTTTCAATACTGGCATACAATTACATAGAATTTTTACCAGAGAGTTCAATTTTATGCTCTAAGGCCATTCACGGTAATAAAGTCAATTAGGATGAAACTAAAATTTAACTTGAAATTAACATAAATAATTACTGAGAGAATTAGATTTTTGTAGCATAGTTTACATGGGATGAGATCACTTGGGGTCACGTGACACGAACCGGTGACTCAGGATGTTGAACCATGAAAGCATAGTAAATTCTTAAATTAACGTCTTTTTACAAATTTATTGTCTTTATTTATTGGCTTTTTACAAAATTTGAAATGCTATTAAAATTTTTACGCCTTCAAAATAAAAAATTCTTAGAACTAACATTTGTTAACATTTTTTATGTGCATACTGTATGCTGTTGCCAATAAAGTCTGCTTGGCTAGATTTGCGCCAGCGAAATGGAAAAGTACCGAAGATTTTTTAATTTTTTTCTTTTAAATTATTTATAAATAAAAATTTTAAAGCCCATAAGAATAAAATCATTCACACATTTTCTGATTAATTTTATACTCTGGGATGTATTCATTTAGGACTTTAAAAATTGTTCTCCATTTGGCAGAATCTTCGAGATGATCATATCTTCATGAATGCCATAGTTAAAATCCCATTTGACATAACAAATCAACTGTGTATCATTCAAAATCTCATTGCTTCATTTAACTGAAAAATATAAAATAGATTTTCTCTTATTCTACTGAAAAGTCTAGATTCTATATTATTGGCCATGCCCTGTATTTGGCATGTAACTATCATTTCACAGTGGTATTCAATAAATGTCCTTACATAAGTTTTCACTACAGACTGTTCCATACCTTTTGTAATTGGAAGAATTAAGGCCTCCTATAGAAAGGGATGCAACACTTGTAATAGTCCAACATGTTACACTTGTATACTTCTTCTCTAAGTGCCATTTCAATTTAAGAGGTTTCATATACTCATTTGAAAGCACTTCCTAAAACAGAATGCATTGAGGTGTTGTTCACTCTCATTACAACCAAGCAAATCAAATTTCAAATAACTCTTGTCCTATATATTCATGAAAGTACTTTTTCTTTGAACAACAAGTACTACTAGATCTTTCTTTAATGGCATTAGCATCATTGATATTAATGTATTAATCAACCACAAGGTTTTCACAATTAGCACTGCCTAAGTAGAAGATATCATCACGTGCTTTCTTTTTAAAGATTTGGTTCCAAGCCAATTTTTCATTATAAACTATTGACAATATGTAACAGAGATAACTACTAATGTCTACCACATAAGGAAAGATTTCAATAACTACACTACTAACAGACAAGCAACAAATCAAAAATACATAAAACTGCCTATATGTTACCTGTCGTTGCCTATAAAAAAAAAGAAACAAAGTATTCCAATTTGAATTTTTGGATTTGTCTGAATTTTAAAATAATCAGAGTCTAAGATTTCTCCTACCTTCATCAATAAACCCAGAAAACACAAATGAAAAATTTAACACAGAACAAGTAAAGATGCAGTTTACTAATGTATGCAGCACTAAATGCTTCTCCAAAACTACTAAGAAAGTTTTAAATGCAATGAAAAGAAGGTTCATTGTATCGTGATGAGCTGGGATTACCTCTGGCTGGGTCACATATGCAATGAAAAAATGGCAAGAAGCACCACAGTTAAAATGTTTCAAATCTCTCTTTCATTATTAAGATTAGAAGGGAAGGTTCGTAGGTAGGTCAACCAAAATAAATTTCTTAAAATTCCAGTCTTGGAAGAAAAAACAACAGACTATTGTCATGTATGATTTACAAAAGAATCTGAGATTTTCAACTGCAGCGTGGTATACGAATCTAGTTTGAATTTTCTTTCTTATTTTTTTGGAAGTAAATTTAGGGGATCACAAGGATAGGCTTGGTGGTCCACAGAATGAGAAATGCTGTGCTAGAGCATTCAAGCATAGCTCAGACAGCTGGATTGTTTCGTACTATGTTTCTTAAGGCATTGAAATCTTGAATACAGCTTGGATACATTACCAATAATGCACTGACAGTCTAAACTTAGCATTCGCATGTGGTATTTGCGGAATCGATCAGTAAGTAGAAAGTGTCATGGTCTATGAAATAAAGTATAAGCATTCAGATTTTAGTAGAAAAAAGGATCCTAAATTTCCAAATTTTTACAAAACTTCATAAACAATATGGAGCTCAATGTAATGTCCGATACATACAAATGTGAGGAAA